CGAGTTCTTTCATTGTCGTCTTCCATCCCCTTGGATGGCAAACCTTTGCTTTGCAACATTTCTAGGAGCTTTTTTATTGACTCATCTCTGGCATTTAGCGTCTGTTTTTGTGTTTCAATTCTCAATTCCATTTCTTCTAGAGTTTTTCTCAAAAGAAAGAGCTCTTTAGCCTGTCTGTCATGTTCTGCTTGAAGTCTTCGGAAATTTTCCTCTGTAAGCTCAATAGTAAAATGCTCAGCACCACGGTTTCCACTTTCTTGTTGAAGAAGATGATTAAGGTCTCTCTGAGTTCGAAGCTCATCTTGAAGTGCCTGGATTGTCATTTGCAGGTGCTGAAATACAAGAGATCAATAAAAGATATGAATGTAACTTGGCTTTGGTTACATTACTGTTATTTAACATCACAAAATTTAGAAGAATCAGTAATGACAGTGCACTGCATGACTGTATAAAATATCTAATGCACAAGCGATAAAATATTTGTAGTGAAGTTTTTCAAGTGCTTCTGGAAAATATAAAACATTTATGCAAGCACATGTGTGCATACATGTGCATGCGCACACGCGCGCGCGCACACACACACATCAGTTACAGGTAAAATTAATAGTAAACAAAACAAACCATCCTAAAACTAGGCAGTGAACTACTTCAAAAGTTTCAAAGGCATACATCTAATATTGAATTTTTTATGCATCTATAAAACTTGAAGACTCAGTATTCCATGTTTTCTAAATTCTACCTTCTATTTTGTCCAATGTTCATTGAAAAATGCAAATCAAAGTTCACTATAAAATAGGGTAAATTATTTTTATTATTTATTGCAAGTGAAGGTATGAATGAGTTTAGTAAACAGGATTACTGTGCGTCTACTAAGCAAATAAAAAATACGCAATAAGCAATACTGTGTTTGGAAAAACAAATTGACTGCAAATAGTGAACAAACCTTTGTTCTCCTGGCATCCAAAAACTGAACAGCATGGTAAATGAAAAAATGAAGCAAAATCAACAGAAAGAAAGATCAGATGCAAGCAAAGGAGATTCAACAGAAAAAACTGAATTCAACATAATGTACCTTCAACAGAAAATGTAATTTTATTGTATTACATAACAACCTAGGAGCATTTAAATATATACATCTAAACTTATGGTTACTGTACTCAAAGTAAAGAAAATCAGAAAACTGTAAATCCAGCACTCAATAAAAAGTATCCCAACTGATTTGACTATGGCTCTTCCATATTATTAGGTATTTCTACACATATTATAAAATATTTTGTATTCACTATACTTCAGCTATATAAAATGGTTTTGTACTTTGTTATGACTAAATCTTAATTTTTTAATCAAATTATAGTCAGAATCAGTAGGAATTCTGCCTAATTAAGGCTGGATTTACACCCCAAAAACTGTCTAAAATTATTATAGTCTATAGTACTAATTTCAGATTATATCAAAGGCAAAATATAAATTATATTGATAGCTGCATATTTCACAGATTTTCCCCATATTCATTAAAAAAAAACATTTAAAATAATGTACATTAAAAAATATACATTCCTAATAGTTGTATGGTTAATAATCAAAGCTCATCAGTTACTTAGAAACATGGCATTATGCATTTTTATTCATTCCTGAAGCTCTACATATTTTCTTACAAAATCACCGGTATAATGTAATTAAGTTAAATTAAGTTAAAGACAGAAAAGGTCTACTAGTTCTGCAAAGTTTGTTGTACAGCACAGCAAGGATATAATCTTATAACAATAAAATTAACTTAAACTGAATGTAAAAAATCATTCAATCTATATATTAAAAATTCCTTGAAATCAAAACTAGATGCAGTTCTTGCAACTGGGGCAAAGCACTAACAGTTACATAGGGTTATCAAGTTTACTAGAGTCTTTTCTGTCATCCTTTTCTTCATATGACCAGAAATTATTTCCATTTATATTACTGGTTAATAAAAACACACTCTATAAAGAAAGAACAGATTGCATGTTTATAAATTAAACAGTGTTAATGCTTGTGCATATACAGAGCTGATTTTTCAGATGACATAAATTATATACATCACTAGCAAAGAAATGTTGATTATAAAGTACACCATTTTGAGTAAAACTTATGAGAGGTTAACTGTTAAAATTTTCCATTTAAAATAGATTATCAATCTTCCCAGAATCTTATTTTAAAATACCCTGACATTCTTACTTCAATAGCTTTATTTTACATTTTTAATCTCTCTCTGCTTTTACTATTTAAGTTACAAAAATCAAAATATTCTCTAGGAATTTAAATTAAATTCAGTTATATAGCGCAAAATTCAAAGCGTTATATAAGCGCAAAAATTCAACAGTGGATGGAGTCTTGCTGAGCTCAGATTTAATGATGAATGGTTATAATAAATCAATGAATAAATTCAGATATGAAGGAAAAATGAAATGGAGGAAGAAAGAGAATCTTCAAAATAAGCAAGCTCTAAACCTTACATTGTAAATTTTAGTTAACATAACTTCTTTTTAAAATTCTTCTCTGTGTTCCACCTGGTCTCAGAGTTTTTCTGCATGAAATTAGTCAGTCACGGCAATGGATATTTAATAATAGTAAAGAAAAAGATATCCTGCTTGCAGAGTATGACTTTCAGGTGCAACTCTGGAAGGGAGCTCATAAACTTGAAAGCATGGGTGGCCTTTGATATCTGAAATTTCCATATTAAAAGTAAGTTGTCCAAAAATCTTCCTGGTCGATGCCAAAGAGAAGCAAGATTCTTTTTCACAGTGTGGAATTACTATTTCCCTTCCTTATCTGATTAAAGATTAGAACAGAAATAGGGGCTCATTACTAATTCAAATAAGAGGATGAAACTAGAAACGACCTTCATATAGCAACTTCAGCATATCACTTTATTCTCATGAAAAAGAGAGGAAGGGAGGTAAAAGAAGCAAATCAGCATAGGAATCAAATTTAACATGTCAAGAAAAATTAATATATAATGTGTAATTGTATGTTTAAGAATTTCTTATATACAAGTATGAACAAACCTCCAGAAATCCATGATATAAGCAATGAAAAAGACCAAAAAAGAGAGAGTAAGGGTGTGTCTCCATGTCACTGTATGACGACGTTGCTATGGCACGCGTTAGTACTTCCTTTTGAAAGTACTAAAGCATGGCGCACTACAGATAGTTACTGCACTATGTGCACACCACATGGTTAGATTTTGCTGCTACATCACTATAGCAGCACGCTATACCAGGGGAGTGTGCTGCTACAGCAACATAGCTGCCAGTCACGTGTAGACACATGTGATCGCTACACTGCTATAGCACACCATATGGTGATGTAGCATGTTGCACCTTAAAAGTGCTAATGTTGGGGTAAAAGGCTCAGACAAAGGAAGGGCTCTACTATATAGATACATAAAAAGGCAGTAGATGATAGCAAAAAGACTGCCATGCTACCATTTGACTTGAGTGCATCTAGAAAAGCCCACCAATAACAAAGTACAGGTAAACAAAAACAAGTTTTTTGAAAAAAAAATAGGTATGTATGAAAGCTTTTGCAGCGAGATCAGATCAATTCTAAAAATCAAACACTTCAGAAGAACATGATATAATTAAAACCCTAAACACATAAAACAAAGCAAGAGAGTCCTGTTCTTCACTAGCATGAGCTGAACCTGCTGATATTAACAAGAATGGGACAGCTAAAACAATCCCTGCCCCCAGGTGTGGCAATGAGAAGTTGGCAGGGGCTGGAAACTGGGTTTGGGGACAGCCTCCCCAAGCCTGATTCCCAGCAATTAGGGCTTTGCAGTCCTCACCCACACTACCCAGCTGGGCATTAGGAGAAACAATGAGAAACTGGTGGGAGTTTGCAAAGCCTTCTGCTCCCCTCCCCTCCAAGACTGGTCTGGGAGGGGAAGGGAAGGCACCAGTAGGACAAAGCCCCCAGCTCCTTCTCCAAACCAGACAGTCCCCAATTTGGAAAAAAGTCAAGGAGTAGCCATTGTTGCTCCCTTCCTCTCCTGGACCAGACCAGGAGGGAAATTTACAAGCATATGAAGATCTTCCAGGTTGAGACCCTCTTATTACTACCAATGATTCTTCCAATAGAAATGTAATGCCTATATGAAGCCAGAGAACAAATAGCATTCAGAGAGTGAAGACCTGTGACTACACCTACTACAAAACATATTCAGACATTTTACAAATTAATTTCTACCTTTTCAGAAAAGAAAGTTTCTTGCAGTGCATTTCAGTATAGGTATCCAGGCATATATTTAAAGACTCAGCACTGCATTTTTCTTTATGCTGTAATCTGTTGGTAGTTGTAGTCATTCTTAGGAGTGGTAAGAATTTCTTGAAGCATGTGATGACTGCCCAGCCAGTCCATCTTTTGAAACCTTTAGGTAACAAAAGCTTATAGAGGTATGGTTCATCCTAAAGCCTCAAGATTCAGGTGAGAAGGAGGATCTGATCCAAAAGGAGGTCTCAAGTGCCTATCATCTAGGTAAACTAATATTAAATAAATATTGACAAACCTCTGAATGCAAGGGTTTTATAGGGGTCATTTCTTCCTCTGTGGACACATCTACATGTGCAAATGCTACGGGGTTGGTTTACTCCAGAGTAATTTACTCTAGAATAAATTCACTCCAGGCAGGCATCTACATGTGCAGGGAAGCAGGAGCAGACTTGCTGCAGCAGCCAGGGGGAACTCTAGGCTCCCCCTCGGTGCTAGTCCAGAGGCCAGCAGGGAGCACAGGGCCAGGACAGTTGTCTCCTGGTGGGGGCTAGGACATTGCTCCCTGCCCCTGGGACCTTCCTTCTGCAGGGGCGGGGACCACCACCAAAACCCAGGTGGGGATAATATTTCCCTGCCCCAGGGGGGATGGGGACAGGGCAAGGGGCTTGGAAAAAGCTGCAGGGGAGGGTCAAGTTCTAGCCCCCTAACCCAATCCACAGGTGGGGAAGCTAGCACCAGGCCCCCAGCTGGGCAGGGAATCCCCACCCAGATGGGCGCTCACTGCTAGCTTCACCACCAGTGGATCAGGGCATGGGGCTGGGACCGGCCCCTGACCAGGACAGTTCCCAGCCAGCCCTAGGCTGCACAAGGAAGTCTGCATATGCATCCTTGAGGTGGCTGGGGACTGTCCAAAATGGGACAGATGCCAGCCACCTCCAAGCTCCATGTACAGACTTCCCCAAGCAGCCCAGGGCTGGTTGGGAAATGTCCCAGACAGAGACAGGTCCCACCCAGCTCCAGGCTGAGTAGGGAACTCTCCCTGTGCAGGGAGCTCCCAGCCCCTGCTCCGTGATCATGGCACTAGGGC